CTCCCCAGATGGTCAAGATCAACACAAGGTAGAGGACTCAGTGAGAGGGAAAGTCCCAGAAGGGTCTGAAAGACAGTAGCAACTAAATCTAGAAACAGAACAGACTAGAAAACGGAATATTTCCTGATGGATTCAGGGAAAAGAGAAATCATTGCTGACAGCTATAAACCCGTTGGTAAACCCACCAAGCTCCAATGGATAGTCCCATTCAATGGTCACACAGATAGCCCAGATTAAATAAAATGAGTCATAAATCAAAACCAAAAAGTTATAAATCTGAGAAAGAAAGAATGAGTGAGAAGGAGGGGTTGATAATGGTGGGAAATGAGAGAGGATGAGAGGAGATGGCATTAAAGTATTACATATATGTACTAAAATGTCAAAGAGCTAAGTTCATTGATAATTAAAAGAAACAAAATCAATCTAATATGATACACAGAATGGGAGGAAAAGCAGCAAAATGAAAAGGTTAAATGTGGCCAGAGCGATGGCTCAGCAATTAAAGAGCATTTACTGCTTTTCTAGAGGTCCCAGGTTCAATACCCAACACCCACATGGCAAATAACAACCATTTGCAATTCCAGTTCCAGACGGTTCAACACCCAGTTCTGCCCACTGCAGGCACATAAAATAAATTAAAGATAAATAAAAATGTTAAAGGCTAAAAAGTACATAGAATGTAGTTATACAAATAACTGTTTATGACAGGTAAAACATTGAAAATATCTGAAATTTAAACTAGGCATGGGAGAGGCAAGAGGTCCAAAAGTTGTGCTGCCTGGCTAATTTACAATCAGTCTAGGCTACATGAAGCACTATCATAAACAAATAAACTACCTGAAACAAACCCTTTCCAGTGTGATAAGTATTTTCCAGGTTTCATGTAGTTTGTAGTTTTACTTTATAATTTTTTTATTTTTTTGCTACAAATAAAATTTTTGGTGCTGTTCTGTTTTGTTTGCAGCAATGGAGGCTTGAACCCAGAGCACTGCACATACTGGATTAAAGGTGATTAAAGGTGTGTGCTAAGGGTTTACCTATAGTCCAGCGAGAGTAGTCATGCTGCTGGATTAAAATCCCTCTACAGTTATTTTTATGTGTATGCCTTTGTGAGTTCATCCGTAACACATGTGTGCAGGAGCCCATGAAGGGCAGAAAGGGCATCGGATCCTCTGGAGCCAAGATTCGTTCAGTAACTGGGAACTGAACCCAGGTCCTCTAAAAGAGCACTGAGTGTTCTTAACTGCTCAGCCGTCATCTCTCCATCTTTCCAGTCTCTTGCTTTTAGGTCTTTAAAACGTAGTCTCAAAACCTTGACCTCCTGATCCTTCTGCCACCAGTCATGCCCACCACCCTTGGCTGTAACACACATTTTCAAACAAGACGACCACTTAAACACTTCTCCGGCAAGAGAGTCTTTTCTGCAATTTAAGCAGAAGAATAAAGTTAAACTCTGTAAATTATGTTTTAAACCAAAAATGTCCTCGGCAGTCCCAGATACACACAGGTAAAGCCTCATAAAAAGAAAATGAAGAAGCCAAGGCAACCCCTGAGGGAGAGACTGCATTAATCAGAGTCTCATTTCTGTTTCCTTGAGAGCAAAGCCCCCATGATAGAGCCTGAGGGCTGTACCTGAGGGCTCAAGAAAATATCCGCAGAGGTGTGGAACAGTGAAGCCGTTACTATTGATACTAGACCTTCTGGAGAAGATGAGCCAAGCCAAACTGTGCATGTTATGTTGATTAAATAATATTCCTGAGAAAATGCAGATGATGAGGATGTAAATGAAGGAGCATTATAAGGACTCTACAGCCTCTCCCTAGCCTTTGTTTATCCGTTACCAAAATTATATTTGGGCACAGGATTTTATCTAAGAGCTTGTGAAAACATTTCTATAAAAGCCTGTTCACATCTGGTGGTTCCCCCAAAACTTTGATGCCCTGAAAAATCTAATTATTACTGGTAACTTTAAAAGATCACAGTAATTTATTTTTGTCAAATGTGACTAAAGATTAATGGATACAATCAGGAATAATTTGGTAAAAATGTATCAAACATAGAGAAAGCAAAATTTGTTGTTAAGTGGAGCATCAAATATAATAAAAGAGCAAATTCCATGAATGAACAACAACAATGTGCAATTCATTAACCAAAGGCCCATGGTTATTTCACACTTCAGAGGGCTACTGATATAATCAGAAACCACAGTAAGGGGATAAATAGAGACTACCTTCAGAATCTCCTTTTATGTTTTAATTATAAACACTCTGCCCATCCTGTCTATAAATCATAAAACTAGAAAAGACATTCAGCTAATCATTCTAAGATGGTAATCAATATGTCACAAATATTAAATGTATATCATTGTATTAGATATCAATTATAAAACTACAAAACTCTCATGGAAATATCATCAGCATTGTTGTCAGTATCAATACCCACAATGCCCTGATCACTACTGAAATGCCTACTTATTTGCTCAACAACAACAACAAAACATAGCAGTTCATATCTACTAGTGAAGAAGATGGACACATGGTACCTGAGCTCAGGTAACCAGCCAGAGGGACAGAATATACATTAGTATAAATGGATTATTTTAAGTTATGAGCTAGTCAGAGAAGAGCCTAGCTAGATGGCCTAGGCTATTTGCAAATAATAAGTCTCATGAGTCGTTATTTTCAGGGAGTATAGGGGCAGGAGGAAAAAAAACCCTCCTACAACAGTGATTTAAATTAGGGGACAAGGAAGGGAAATGGAGTTGGAGGTATAGTTCAGTAGCGATGTACTTAGGAGGCCTAAGACTCCAGATTTAGCATCCAGCACACATACACAAACACAAAAATAGCCAGACATGCTGTCACATGCTTGCAATCCAAGCACTTGGGAGTCTAAGTCAGGAGGATCTGAAGTTTGAGACCAGCTGAGTCACCTCGTAGACAAGTCTGTGGAAAGTGACTGAGAAAGGCACTCATTCATCATCAACCTCTGTTCTCTATATGGATGTGCACACACACATACACACACACACAAATGTACATACATTAACACACACAAAGGAAGCAAAGAAATATCTCCATCCACTTAGTGAAAATAAAGCAGCAATTTCCATTCACAAGAATGAATACAACATACATGAAAACACTACTAAAAATACTGTTATTTGAAAGAATCAAGCTATTGGAAGGTTAGGTGTAACTGATCTTGTCTACGTTTTTAAATAGGCATAGAAAAAGGACACAAAAGAGAACGGATGACACTTTTCAAAAGGAGAAAATAAGAAGCCTGCGGTGAGTGTTTCATACCAACTCCCTCACGGTCCTCCAACCAACCTGGCTTTCCAGCTTCTCCTATCTTCCACACTGTCTTCTCCAGCTCCGGATCTGTCTTTAAATAATTTCCTCTTCTTCTATAGAATCCTTTCTCACTTTCTCCATTTAGTATTGATAAGCAGTCAATTTTCAGTTCTGAATTCTAGTCTACTGCTTGTTTTCTCTGCTTCTTGGCAATATGAGGTGTGCATACATTCATACCTCCCCCACTCTCCTTCCCTCCTGTTTCTCCCCCATGGATACCAACCTCTATTTTCCAACTTTGACAAAGAAACACCTTTTCCCTGTTACCTTCTCCCTAAGCCAGTAGATGTGTTTTCAGCAGTGAAGTCTCCTCCTCCCAACACATAAGTGGAACATCACACATTGCTTCTGTCTGCTCTGGATCAGTGCTAAGAGCACAGCCATTTTTTTCTCTTTTAGAATCCTTACCCTTGCTCCTGTCTCTGTACAAACTAGTGCATTCCTATGACAGCCCTTTCCTCATCTTTCCCATGACAGACCTGCACCCTCTCTCTCCTCTTCCATGACTTGCATATTCAACCTCTACCCTGCACTGAATTGTTCCTCCTATCTTCGCAAAAGACAAACAGAGAAAAGGAAAAAGAAATCTCTCAACAGATGGCCTTCTTGATCTGGCTTCACCACAACATTTGTCTCCATGTCTCTGGAGAGTCTGTGACCATTCTCTGCTCCTTCCAAACTGCAAACCTTTCTTCAACTCCAGGATCTCAAGAGGCCTGATCAGGAAACCAAGGCCTTCACCTGGCACACATCCTGCCTCTCAACAATTTCCTCATAATCTTTCTTGCTGGCCTGCATGCTCCGTGTTAAAGCACCCGCCGCCCCCAACATGCACTGATTCCATGCACTTCTGCCAGCATATTTCTTCAGACCGGGTCCCTCTCAGAAAGAAGATTTGCCTATTAAACTGATCCACCTTCCAGTAGATTTTTCTGCTCCCAATCACTCTATCGACAAGAATACCCATGCCTAGCTGGGCAGTGGTGGCTCACACTTTTAATCCCAGTGCTCAGTAAGGTAGAAGCAGGGTAATCTGTGTGTCTGAGGCCAGCCTGGTCTATAAGGCCCGAGACAGCCAGGTCTGTTGCACAGAGAAACCCTGTCTCAAACACAACCTCCATATAAAGATAAAAATATATCCCTCTTCCACTCTCCCGCTCAGGCTGGCCAGAAAGCTAAGTTCAAGCTGCCTTGTGATAACTATAAACTGCTTTTCCCACCTGCTTTAGCACATGAGTATGAACGCCCTCAAATTATACACTATGTTAGGAGACATGAAAGTTTATAAAAATGGAGGAGGTCAATGTGGTAATAAGAGTGGATTCCAGTGTGTCTATATTTTAAATTTATCATGATTCAGAGTAAACAGAAAAATACTTAGATGACAAAGTTTATGCGACTAAATTTTCAGGAATATGGAGTTTTATTCTGAAATAAATCTGCTGGAATGAAATACTTATTTATAGTTATATTTAGTTTTTAAAACTGTTGCTGAGTGGCGAGATTTTGAAAACTGCAAGGGTTTCACGGAGTTGGGGAAACTAGGGGACAGCAAGAGAAACGTGAGCTCTTGAGTCAACAGTGCCTGCGTCCCCAGTGAGGAGGAAGAGGAAGCATGTCCCTGTGTCACCCATGAGGACTCACCTCTGGTGACAGCGTCCAGTGCACAGCCACTTCCGGTGGCGCCACCTCCGATAACAAGGATGTCAAACTCCGAGGTGTTCTTCAGAGTCATGAGCTGAGCCTCTCTGGAAGGAGGCTCCCTGTTCACAGGCTCCGTGATGCATTCTGCTGCCTCCACATATGCCAGGCTCACCTGAGGGAAAGCGGGAAGACATGTTCAGGTCACACATCATGAGTGCCAGCTTAGCAAAGCGAACTGTAGACTACGAAGAAAGCAGAAACAGGGATGAGGGCTACCAGAGCTAGCCCCACAGTACACATGCAATCGAAGGAGCACCTGTGTTGGAGTGGGCTTCATTTCTTCCCTTAGGTCTCAGCTATTTGCCCACAGAACGCCTGCTTTCAAATTCAATATCTCAACTGTTTGTTTGATTTTTATATAAAGCAAAATTCAATTATTTCTACCACTGTGTAGCAATTCCCAAACTCTCAACCTAAACCAGTTTGAAGAACCAGAAGGAAATACTTTATCCAATCGCATCAAACCATTGAGATAAGATTTAAAAGTATAGACATCATATGAAAGGAGAAAATAACACTTTATAATTACTGTGCATTTCCTAAAAGAATATATTTCTTATTCAACTCTTATGACAAAACATACTCTAGATTTTGTGATCTATAGGCTTAAATCAAGGTAATTAATAAGTCTGCTTGGCAAAAGTTAGCATCTTGTTTAAATTAAATCTACTATGCTCAATAATATTTTTTCAAAAATTTTACTAAAAGCCTTCCCCCATCAAATATATAAATGCAAAAATAAAGATTTCCTATGTTTACAGTATAGATAGATGGATAGGTAGATTGTTGACAACTTAGAAATATAATAAAGCCAGGCATAATCACCCTAAATTTCTTGGTTCTTGAATAACATTAACTCAGCAGCGCAAATCAAAAACACCTGTTTAAGACTCTTTAATCCATTCCTAGGAAACCACAAGCAAAAAGGATTAGGTCGCTATGCTGACCCACATCTACAACTCCAACACTCAGGAGACTAAGGCAGGAGGCCACCCTAGGGTTAATTAGTGAGTGCTAGACCCAGCCTGCATGGGTGACAACTTGTTTGGTTTTTTTTTAATTATATAATATATGTGTGTATTATACACCACACACATGTATTATATAACCTCTCAGTGGCAGACCCAGAAGTCAAGTTCCAACATACAGAAATAGAGGTATCTAGGTTTTTTTGTTCCTCACTGCAGTATGAATTCATTTACCACAATGAAGATTACTGACCCACACTGCTCCATTAGTTACCCAAAGACCACAACTTCCGTTTCCCTCTATTCCATCACAGGATCAGCACAATGGAGGCTCCTCTCCCACTCTGCCTTAAGTCATGTCTGAATGACCAGGGCCAAGCTTTCTCAAGAGGATCTTCCAAGACTTCTGAGACAGAGTCTATCTATGTGTGAAAATATGGCTTGGAATTATCTGTGCAGCCCAAACTGTCCCCACACTGGCCATTGCACTGACCTAAGGGCTTACAGCGTTCACCAGCATATCCAGCTGTGGTCACTGCTTACATGGAGATTATTCTGTTCATTCAAGACAAGGAATTTATTTTTCAATTCAGATTAAAATAAACCTAGCTTCTCCCTGTAATTAGATTGATTATTACCAAGACAGTTGTATTTCTATGACAATAAAGCCAGAAGTCTAGAGAACACTGGGAGAACCGTGTCTTGAGCCACAGGATCCCAGCTTAAGTCTCTGCACCCCTGTCTTGGAAGCCTGACGAGCTGAAGTCAATCACCACAACACACGCAAGATGAAAGAACAGACTGCTAACTGTCCTTTGACCTCCCTACTCACAACACGGTGAATTAATTTGTAAGTTATTAATTCAAATGGCAAAATTTAAAAGAAAACAAAAAACCATTCTTCGTGTAACTCCTCCTAGTCAAGTAACGAGCCGAATAAAAGAAACTGCTATGTTCTACGAAGGTCTGTACTCTTCTAGCAATGGTCTTTGTCTTCCTCACCTAATGAGGAGAAAATGAGAAGACATGGAGAGACGGTTTATATATACACGTAACGCATTTGTAGAAAAACCGAATGCCAAAATGGAGGGGGCCAGGCTATGACCACTGGGGGTGGGGGAAGAGAGAACTGCACCATGACAGATGGGAACAACTTGGACATGGGACTGACAAGTGACTAAACCGCCAGAGCTTTTTCACACATCAACAGAATTGCTGACATTTTCTGCCTCGTAAGTTTTCTAGAAATAGTGGAGAAATAACTTTAAAGACCATATTACGGCATAGTTCATTAGAACTTGTTAATTCTAAAAGCTCCCTAGTCTGCTCTAGCCGTGAAGACTGAAGTGGTTGAGCTTCCCCTTTAGCGCGTGGCAGAGATGTGAGGCGCCTAAGCTGCTCCCGATGACTGCATGGTCCTGTCAGCTTCCCGACCTCTTGAGGGAACAGTCTTAGCCTGTCTCATCTTGATACGAAACACACCTCTTTCATCTTGGTACGGTGGTTGCATTCCAGTGATTTCAGTCCCCAACAGGCTGGGAAGCTGGAGGACTACATGCTCAAGGCCATCCTGGACTACACAGCAAAATCTTGTCCAAAACAACATTTCCATATATGGAATATGTTTCCAGCATCTATCCTAGAAATTCCTTAAAGATCCATAAGGCCCTGAATTATCCAGCTTTAGTATTTACTGACTAAACTCACTATTGTCTGCATTTTCACATGCACACCCATTACCTGCTGCACCACAATACTGCTACAGCTACACACACACACACACACACACACACACACACACACACACAGAGCTGATTGTTCACTCAACTCGGTATCCAAGGCAACTTTTTTCTCCTGATTTTTGAACCTCCCTTTCTTAGCTTCCTTTGGTTAGCACTCCGCGGCCCATCATCAGTACAGACTGAGTGACAGACAGGCCTCTTAGTGACATGGCCTACTCTTCTCAAATGTCTGCGAACTCTCTAGAGCATCTCAGATGTTCCATATTACCCAACATTCTTCATTTCACAATGATGGTTTTTGTTTTGTTTTGTTTTGGAAACAGGGCTTCTCTGAACAGCCTTGGCTGTCCTGGACTCGCTCTGCAGCCAAGGCTGGCCTCAAACGCAGAGATCGGCCTGCCTCTGCCTCCCCGAGTGCTGGGATAGCAAGCGTATGCCACTTTGCCCAGCTTCCAGAGTGATGTCTAATTTGGAGGACCTGGGATATCAATCAGGTTAATTAATGAGCACTTCCAGTTGATGTACTGTGTGTGTCCCAATATTGGTCTCAGGGCTTTATCTCCTGCAAACTATTTTTTTAGCCTGCCGGCAATCACCTTCCTTGATGATTACCCTTACAAGATGAAAACCTGTCTCCGCACTGAAACCTGTTGGCAGAGGTTCACATTGATTTTACCTGTAAATGTGTCAAAGCAAGGGGGTTGTGGTAGGAGCCTCGAAATCCTTCACCTGGTGTCTTAGTTACTTTTCCAGTCGCTGTGATAAAACACTGTGACATAACTTAAAAGAAGGGCTCTATTTTGGCTCACCGTTTGAATGTGAGCTTCAGGAGCTTGAAGTAGCTGGTCCCATAGCATCCAAGCTCAGAACGCTGAGAACGATGAATGCTTGTGCTCAGCTCTTCCCGGCTCTGCTAACCAATCAAGGCAATCCCCCGTTGGCCCATCTCTGAGAGATTCTAAATCCCTTAACAGCTGAGATGAACCGTCACACTTTGTGACTGTCTAAACTGCGGTATACCTCTGAAATGGAATAATAGTGATGTTTACAAAGAACTAGTGATGAAATTAAAAAAAAAAAGAGCACATGAACCTCAAGGCATCCTGCTAAGTCAGAACACAAATGAAAGTCTAAGCCCACATTCTACTGGAGCACAGAAACACCTAATCAATACGAGCATGAGTGCCCACGACTGAATGCAGACTTGAGCGGTCTGTTACAGGCCTGAAAACAATGACTTGCCCCACACACAAGAACCAACCGATCTCTGTGCTAAGCAAGACAAGCCAGACTCAGAAGTCCCTGTACTACATGACTGTGACCATTCCATCTAAATAGTGCTCAGTAAAAAGCAAAGTATGGGATCAGAAAACAGGTCAGTGATTGCAGGCCCTAGGGAAACAATGACTGCAGAGGGCACAAGGAACACGTGGAGATGACAAAACCGTTCTGTAACTTGACTCTGGTCATAATTACATAATTGAGTGTGTTATAAAGAGTTGATTTCACCTCCTTTAAAGCTGTTCCCCCAAATTATGCCTCAATAAAATTGACTTTTAAAAAATAATAACCAACTGTGGATACAGCACGTATGTGCTAGGCAGTTTTATAAGATGTTTGCTTTTTTTTTTTCTGCTCATTGAATCTTCATAATGAAGCTGACTCAGATACGTGACTTTCTCCACTTAGGCAGCCGGGACTGAGCTGCAGAGGAGGGAGTGGCCGCCTAACTGTATGGCCAGCTCACAAAAGAACTGGGAATCGAAGCAAGCAGCCTGGCAAAAGAGACCGCGTCTTATACTACTACGCTGCACTGACTGTACAGGGGATCATAAGGAAAAAAAAAAATACGGACAGACTAACTAGTTACAACAGAATGAAACAAAACCACTGGCAGGATACAGAAAGCTCTTAAATGGAGGAGGGGCCACGGATTGTTGCAAAAGTTGCACTGAGGAGCTCCCCCAATGTAAATATATATACTTATAAACCACACACAGTACTATTGAGGATGATTTATTTAATTCCTGACGGTACTTTAAAATAACATTTTATTTTTGTTTATTTCTTTCAAAAAAGCTGGAAAGTGTTGCAACTGAGAAGCTAAGCACCACGCTTATTTTAGAGGCAGTAAACACAGCCTAAGGCCCTACTTAGAATTATGACAGGAGAAAGACTCGTTTTTGAATTCATATGGCTTTGAGTAACAGAAACACATCTGCACTCTACCTTCTCTAGAATATGTTGATTTCGGGGAAATAAAGAGAGGGGGTAAAAACGGAATCCGAGATACTAAAGCAGTAGTGGTAAGGAATGATGCTTTAAAGACTTTAAAGACACTTTAGAAAAGGGTCTTTGTGCTCCACTCCTCTCAGAGCTGTCCTTTCCTAGGTCTCCCTTTT